CTCAGCCTGCTCAGTGCCCTGTCGTGGTTTCCCTTGTGGTTGTCCGAGAGCGCGTTCCTGTTTATAGTTTTCTACCTGGTTTTTGACTTTGGCTTTGTTTATTGACTTCTCTATATTCTGGTATCCTGACTCCTGGCTTTCCTCATCACTGTGTCCCTTTCTGTGTTCCCTGACCTCGGCTAGTATTTTTGACTATTCTTTGTACGTTAAATCAGTCCATTCTAAGGACCGGTAATACGTTACTTATTTGTCATCCGTGCTGTACAGTTCTACGTGCTGGCTCAAACAGTAATCCTGACACAACCCAGGCAGACAGTCCAGAAAATTTAATTGGCAAGCCCTATATTTAACCCTTTAACTTTCTAAAACACACATAAAATCTTTACATGGGGGTATTGCTATATACGGGAGACTTCACTGAACACAAATATGAGTGTTTTAAAAAGTCAAACTTGTCACGACGATGATATCACCAGTAAAAGCGCAGTTTTTGTTTAAAAAAAATGCAAAAAACAAATAAAAATGCTAATTTTGGCCAGCGTTTGTGACTAAGTGGCTACTACAAAACACTGGACATACCCCATTTTGAATACCCTGTGTTGTCTACATTTGAAAATGGTGTGCCATGATGGGGTCAATTCACATTCCTGGGCTACCATATGGTCTCAAAAGGCAACATAGACCCAGCAAACCAATCTGGCAAACTGAATTGGGCAAGCCCTTTATTGACCCTGTAACTTTCCAAAACACCATAATACCCAGGGCCGGACTGGCCCACCGGGATACCGGGAAATTTCCCGGTGGGCCGCGGCACCTGGGGGCCGGCCGCGTTCCTGGGCCGGCCCTTTAAATACTGCAGCCGCCCGAGCGCTCTGTTAAGAGCCTCAGGCGGCTGCAGCTTCTTCCCTCCCTTCCCCTCCCCTGTAGCTGGCCGAGCTCGCTGGTCCGCGGTGGCCGGCCGGAGTGATAGGAAGGCGCACACTGAGTGTGCACTTCCTGTCAGTCCGGCCGGTTACAGAAAACAGAAACTCCTGTTCCGCGCGGAGTTTCTGTTTCCTGTAACCGGCCGGACTGACAGGAAGTGCACACTCAGTGTGCCCCTTCCTATCTCGGCAACCCACATGAGGGCTGAAGATACCTTCGGCTACGCTAAAAGGGAGGTAAAGAGGAGGAAGGGAATAGAGGATGAGAAGAGAGGATGAGAAGAGGGAATAAGAAGAGGAGGGAATAAAAAGAGGGAGGGAATAAAAAGAGTGGGAATAAAAAGAGGAGGGAATAAAAAGAGGGGAATAGAAGAAGAGGGGAGGAGGGAATAAAAAAGAGGGAGGGAGGAATAAGAAGAGGAGGAATAAGAAGAGGAGAATAAGAAGAAGGGAGGAAGTAAGAAGGAGGAGATAAGAAAGAAGGGGGTAAGAAGAAGGGTGATAAGAAAGAAAAAGATGGAGTAAGAAGAAGAAGAGGAGTAAGAAAAAGAGGGGAAGTAAGAAGAGGAAGTAAGAAGAGGAGAGAGGGGAATAAGAAAAGGGAGGGGAGTAAGAAGGAGGAGATAAGAAAAAAAGAGGGGTAAGAAAGAAGAAGAAGGTGAGTAAGAAGAAGGGTGAGTATGAAGAAATGGGGGGAGTAAGAAGAAGAAGGGGGAGGAAGAGGAAGAAGAAGAAGGGGGGGTAAGAAGAAGAAGGGGGAGCAATAAGAAGAAGGGGGGTTAAGAAGAACAGGTGGGGGAGTAAGACGACCAAGGGGGGAAGTATGAAGAACACAGGGAGGAGGGGGGTAAGACGAACACAGGGGGTGTGAGAACACATAGAGGGAGGAGTGAGAAGAACACAGTGAGGGTGGAGGGGGGGGATGAGAAGAGCACAGGGAGGGTGGGTGAGTGTGAGAAGAGACCGCTAGGGGAGGGTGGGGGAGAGGAGAGACCACTAAGGTGCAGGGGAGAGCTCTACGGGACAGAAGGGGCAGCTCTATAGGACAGGGGCCAAGACAGGGAGCTCTTTCACACTACACGCGCGCACAGACACACACACACACAATGCATCCCTATACATACACAGAAACACAACATGCTTCCCTTACACACAGAGAAACACACAATGCATCCATTACACACACACACACAATGCAACCCTTACACACAAAGACAATGCATCCTTTGCACACATACACAGAAACAGACAATGCAAACCCGTACACACACATGCAAACACACACACTTCTTTTCTTACATACACACAGAAACACAATGCATCTCTTACACTCAATGCACACACATACAGACACACACCTTGCATCCCTTATGCATACAAACACAGATTCACACAATGCATCCCTTACACACAACCAGAAACACATAATACATCCGTTATACACAAATACACACTGCTTCCACTACACACAAACACACTACATCACCTGCACAAACTGGTAACCCTATACACTACATACCATAAGCATACATATTAGATCCTCTACAATAACACATAACACATCCCCTACACACTCC